AGGCAGTTGCCTTTCCGAGCCTAGCTTGCTGTCGTCTTGCATTCCCTCTTTCCAAGCTTGTGAGGAATTGGAATATTTAAGTAGATTATTTTGTTTTAAATAGCAGAGGAACTGCATTCCTCCCACACGCTGCGTGTCTGGTCGCCACTTTTTATGTTTCTTGACACAAGGAGCAGGTCAAGCATAGTTTGACATCGTTTGGCTTTTCTGTTACTGAAATGCAACACACTGTTGAAGTGATTAATCTCCAAAAACATTTCAAAAGAAGTTTTCTTTGTTTCTGCATATTACCTGCACTGATTTAAAATTATTATTGCTTCCATTATAGGAAAAAAAGAGTAAAACTGCTATGGCAGTAGACTGTACCAGCAGAGATGTGCACAAAGTAGTTCTGCAAGTGCAGAGCTATTTGAGTGTGGTCTAAACTCATGTGAATCTGGCTTCTAGTGGTCTGTCCTTCCTCCTTTTTCTCAGCCATGTTTTCCCACCCCTTCCTTTCGGCTGAGCCTGGGGCTTATCTGATGCACAACAAGCTGGTTTGGGAATCCAGCTAAAAATTAATCCTACCCAAAAAATGGTAGTTTGCATGCTGGTTCCAGTTTGCATCTGGTTCTACTTGTCCAGGATCCAGTGGAAGAGGTCTGCTTCTCTGTTTGTTTTTTTAAAATTATTATTTTTATTTTTACTTTCTGGCCCTAACACTGGCAATATTCTTCAGTGAAATAGCTATTATGGAAAGTGTTCTTGTCACCTGGTCAGAAGAAAAGGCAGAGAAATTCCCAAGATGTTGTACAGGTTCTCAGTGTGCTTTCTGAGCCAGTATTGAAGGAATTTGAAGCATGTGAGTTTAACTGCATGGCTCCTGTGAAGTGTGATTACTGTTATCTGAGAGCTCTTTGTAAAATCATGAATACCATGTAATCTAGATTAAGACCAAATCAGCATGTGTGTAGGGTATGTTGCTATTTTCCAGGAGTTTACAGACTGGGAGGAGTGTGCATACACCATGAAAGGTCAGATCTACCCTCCACAATTAAGGTCCCTGATTTTCAGGCTACTTTAACGCAACACGTGTTGATGAGCAGGTCTTGGAAATTCTTGAAGTTTGTAGGAGATAACTTCTTGTCACAGGTATTCAGTGAGCCAACTAGGAAAGATGCCCTCCTAGACTTGCTATTTGTGAATAGAGAAGGACTCATGGGTGATGTGATGGTAGGTGGCTGCCTTGGCCACAGTGATCATGAAATGGTTGAGTGTAATGAGAAACAAGGACAGCAGAGTACTACCCTGGGCTTCAGGAGAGCAAACTTTAAGCTATTCAGGGAGCTATTTAGCAGAGTATCCTGGGAATCTGTGTTTGAGGGCTTAGGAGTCCACGAGTGCTGGTCAGTCTTTAAGAACCGCCTTTTAGAAGCACAGGAGTAGGCAATTCCACTGTGTCATAAGTCAAGCAAGCAAGGCAGAAGACCAGCTTGGCTGAACAGGGAACTCCTTTTGGAGCTCAAGAGGAAAAAGGAACGGTATGATATCTCGAAGCGAGTTCAGGCGTCGCAGGAAGAGTGCAGAGCTGTGGTTCGTTTATGCAGGGAGAAGACATGAAAGGCTGAAGCTCAATTAGAGTTGAAACTGGCCGGTGTTGTTTCAGATAACACGAAGGGCTTTAAGTACGTTAATAGCAAGAGGAGGTCTAAAGAAAACATTGGACCGATATTGGACCTATACTTGTTGAAGACGGTCATCTGACTAATAGGGATGAAGAAAAAGTGGAGGCATTCAATGCGTTTTTTGCCTCAGTCTTTAATAACACTGACAGACCTTGGGCCGCCCGGTCCCCTGAGTCAGAGGACCACGAGTGTGGGAACAGTGACTTTCCATTTGTGGACACTGAAATTATAAGGGACCAGCTGTATCAGCTGAATGTTCATAAGTCCATGGGGCCTGGTGGGATTCATCCCAGAGTCCTGAAGGAGCTAGTGGATGTTATGGCAGGACCCCTCTCGATCATCTACCAAAGGTCTTGGGAGGTCCCTGGTGACTGGAAGCTAGCCAAAGTTATTGCAGTTTACAGAAAGGATGTGAGGCAAGACCCAGGGAACTACAGACCTGTTAGTCTAACCTCAGTTCCTGGAAAAATTATGGAGAAGATCATACTGGGTACTATTGAAAGGCATTTAAAGAATAATGTAATCATCAGGCACATTCAACATGGGTTCACAAAGGGAAAGTCCTGTTTAACTCATTTGATATCCTTCTATGATAAGGTCACCTGCC